TTGTATTAAAAAAAATTAAGGATTGCAATTGTAAAAATATTTGACGACGCAAATGATTCCACTGCTATTGCAAAATGCAAAAGAATGGTTGAGGTTAGTGATTCAAACTTCAAAGCTACATTTTTTTATTATTCCTTAGTTTTCATAAGATTCCTTACAAAATATGGACGAGGAAAAAGAAAAGGCAAGAGGACAAAGGACATGTTTACCGACCACCAAAATCTTGAACACGTACACGAATGAGTTCCTTTTAATCAACAAGAGTTCTCTGGAGTAGCAAGCTTTCATTAACTCTTTAATTCCAGTGCCATATTTCTTGGTTGTTAAAGCAGCTTGGTGGCTTTTCGACTTGTCAAATGGAGCTGCAAGTTCACCCCTCATACTTTTACCGACATGAAATGATTGAAATGCCTCCACAAACTCACTCACTGTCACGAATCTATATGGCTCATGGGCACGAGTCCAATACTGTTCTTGATCTTTCTGTGATGTCACCTGTCAAAAACATTTTCCATGAATAAGTTATGGAAGTGCTGATCTCTTTTTTTTTNAAAAACAGAATCAGATGAAATGCTTTTTGAAAACTTAATGAGAATAATTTTATATGTTTTAACTTTTGAGAGTTATTTCATCACTTAATAATGGTATATTAACAGAATGGTGATTTTTTTAAGGTATAATTTGATATAAGATGAAAATGTAATTATCAAAATTGAAGTCACAAGGTTGAAAAATAATGATCGATAATAGTTTGACGTGCAGATATTGATTTTCGTGTGAAAATGCATGGTAATGTTCTTTTTGGAGAAGGGTGCAGAAGAAAAGAAACAGAAAGTGAGGAAAAGAAAATAATGCATGTTCTGATGTTTTATATTCGACACAACTTTGGTTGGAAAAGTCAACTGATATCTCATTGCATCCTCAAGCATCATTCCCTTACATTTTGGATCTAACAAACACAAACAGAAATTAGGATTTGGAAAACTCTGAGAAAAGCTACCTCTTGTAAGAAGTCGGCCACGCCTTTCCTCTCGGGACACTTAAATCCCACTGACTCAAAAAACTCGAGCACGTTATCTCGCGGGCCTTGATAGACAATTTGGCCGTCAGACAGCAGGATGATGTCATCAAATAGTTCATAAGTCTCGGGCGCGGGCTGCAAGAGTGATATAAGAGAAGTACCATTGAGGATGTGGACATATTGCCTTAGTGAACTCACGATTTGGTATGTCGTGGAGCTGTCCAGTCCTGTTGATATCTCGTCCATGAAAAGAGCATTTGTGGGTCCCACCAGCATCTCACCTGTGATTTTTGCATTTTCCAATCTCAATACTAATTTTGTACTTATAAGGAAATATTCGAGGTTTAACGTCCCCTTGAAATTTTATCATTTTCAAATGAAAATAAACTCCAGAATCCTCCACATATTATACAGCTCACTCCGAATCAAACAACAAGTTCTTTNAAAAGAAAAAAAAAAAGAAAAAAAAAAACTTTATTATATTTTTCAGTTATTTTGGGAATACTCCAACTTCAAGGTAGTTATAGTAAATTCTCACATTTTTGGCAAAAAAATGCAGTTATCCTACCGGTAGTAACACGTTTTCTCTGGCCCCCTGATATTCCTCTAACTAGCTCATCACCAACCATAGTATCTGCACAAACCTCGAGACCTAAAACCTGAAATAAAGGAAGATACAAAATTTACTTTCTTTTTTGCATAACAGCATACATTTTCAGACAATCAGAAGCTAAGAGAATATTATACCTTTATAATGTAATCCGTGATCACACTGGCTTCTTGTCCTTCTGTAGCAACAGCCTACATTTGTGACCATTTATGACTACAACACATAACTAACCATATAAAAAAAAAAATTCACCGATAATCAACTTGATTAAAATTGTAAACGAGAATAAAGTTTCATTTGAATTTGTTATATTTACTAATCATCTGTTACCTTCATGAAGATATCGACATCGGGATCAGGCTTAATACTCGCATTCTTTTCTCTTCTTGATAATTCCGACAACATCTCTGCCAAATGTAACCACAATATTTTCTTATCGAGCATATACACGATGGATTAAAACATTTAAAATAAAATAAAATCACATTTTGTTTATTTACTGACCGTATCGAGATCCAATTCCCTGGCATCTTGCCGAGAATTCAAGAGTTTCTCTCACAGTCATTTCTCCAATATGAACATCGTGTTGGCTAATGTATGCAGCTGTTCTTTGGGGTACAAACTCATTCAGTTTGTGCCCATTGTAAGACACACTTCCAGAAAACTGGTGGGGTGGGAATATTGAAACAGTATTATGTTAAATCATTTGTCTGCCAAAAACGAGAGTTTTATTGAGAGTGTGTGTAAATTAAATTACAGTTATTCAACCTTCAAAGAGTTATCTAACTTTCCGGCCAAAGCCAACAATAGTGTTGTCTTTCCTGAGCTTGGAGGACCTAGCAGCAGTGTCATTCTTCACAAAAGGCCCATGCAAATCTGAATTAGTAAATTTATCGAGGATTTTTTTTTGCCGGAAATGAGAAAGAGAAAAGTATTCTCCAAAAGGCAGTGTTTGCTTCTGATTAATTGGAAGCTAAAGGCCAGGGAAAGGATGTTTTAAACATATTGAACGTTTAGCTTCTATTTCGCAAATGGAGAATTGCTTCTCAATTTATTATGAATTTTTTGGAGAAAAAATATTATCACAAATACTTCATAAACAAACGTTGCAATGCCAACCTGCAAGGCTTGATAATTCCACTGACATCTTGCAGAATAGAAATCTGTTTTTTCTTGCTTGGAAGTAAATGAAGATAGTTCAGAAATCTCTGGAGGAAGGGTACCCAAAAAAAAATAAAAATAAAAATGAACAATAAAGAGTTAAAAGTAAAATACAATAGATACTATTAGTTTCTTCGAGCGAACTTGCTAACATTTGTACCTGAAATATATTAATAGTGAAGTTAAAAAATGTAGGCAATGATCTGCTTCCCAAGTAAGCCTCTGCACCAACATTTAGATGCTCGAATCGGACTTCTATTGTTGGCAGCTGAATGTCAACCCTGGAAAACCACACACAATAAAACGCATGGGAAAATCATTCTAGCAAAACAAATAAATTAGTTATGAGCACGTAAACAAATAAAAAGAGAGTGAGAGGGAATGAGGTTTAACTTAAACTAAAAATTTGAAAATAAAATATGCAAAAAAAATAATAATAATAATCTTTCGAAAATTACAAGTATCCCATTCTTCTTTTTTNGATGAGCTGGAAAAGGCTTCTAAACCACCATTCCACCAGTATTTAGAACAATTTCGTCTCATGCTGGAACTTATTCTGCACAGATCCCCTTGATCCATTTTCAATCGAAACGGCGAAAAAAAGGGGAACAAAGAAAAAAAAAATTAAAAAAAAAAAAAAAAAAGAAAGAGCAAAATACTATTCCAGTATCATGAAAAAAATGTTAGGACAAAGAACCTCTAATGCGTTTCATATACAAATGAATGTCATATATATATATGATAACTTAACTAGTAAAGTATAACTTTTTGAAAGAAATTGACTTGTTTCCTTTCAATAGCAATGATATTTTTAACTTATCAGTGAAGGACAATCGTTGTAGTTATCGGTCACAAACTATTGCAGTTGACCCTTTTTTGGAGGGTAAATATATTGGAAGGAAGTCAAGTTTGTTCTATACATTTACAGAAGGAAACTAAGAAAATTTATAAAATGAACAAGATGCACAAAAGTGTAGGATTCATAGGCTATAGGGTGGTTAAGTATTAACTACCCCAATGCTCAGGAAGGTTCTTTTGTTTTTCAGGGTTTTTTTCAGTTTGATAATTTGATTTCTCCATTTTCTTTCAGTCAAAAATATGCATGTAACAATTATTTGTAGTAATGAGAATATATAATATCCTTTACTACTCTGCATGCAATGCATAGGAGTGTAATGGACGTGTTCAAGAATATATATTGATACAGCATAAGACGGTTGACAAACAAAGAAGTGCAAATAAATGAACAAAACGAAACAACAAAAAATGAACTGCAGTAACCAGAAAATGAATATCAGTAAAGGTGTTCTAAAGCCACAGAGAATTGGGGTACGGAAGAAAAATTCTGAAATAAATAATTATATATAGACTTTATGTCTCTTTTAAGAACTTTATTTATGCCAACATTCGGTTTGCCAACAAAGTGTATCAAGAAGTTGAGGATTACAAATAAAATGGACAGCTAATGAATTAATAACATAGATGGCGATTATTCTAATTTCTAGAGTACTGAGTAATGGAAATAAAGTGCAGAGCATAGCACCATAGGAGGGTAGGAGTGCTGAAACAATTAATACTGATAAGTTCCAATTAAATAGCTCTCAGCTCATAAATATCACAGCATGTAGGCCACCTAATAAGTTAGGCATCTTTAAATTCGACAACATTTTCCTATATCATCCTACTTATGGCTAGAGAGAGAGGGTTGGAAATTTAATGTCAGTAAATTGAAGATAATCCATATGAAGGAAATATAAGGAAAGGTAAAAGGAACAGGCGAACATCTGTCCAAGGCGAAAATTTTCATGAAAATATTTGACCTGTGAAATCCAAAGCACTGTATATGTCAATATTTATCAACAGAGACAGATTATAGTTAACCAGCTCGATTTCACGATCAATGAATTTAATACCTGTGAACTGAATAACTTGTTTGGCTGAAAATTTTCTATATTTGTTGATTTTTCATTATGAGGGATCTTTTTTAAAAGTTCTATTTGATTTGACAAAACTCTGAACTAGTGCTAGAAACTTACCAGAGTTCCCATTAAAGAAAGATATAGCAGGGTAAAACGGTAAATATAACAACAACCTGACTGGTAACAGATAAAGGATGTGTTTGCCAACTCTACAGACCATAAAAAGGTGGATCCTCATCTAGCCGACGAAAATTACAATTTTCATCTAGCTAAATCATTTCTCGTTTCCTTTTTAAAGTTCTGAGACACTTGTAAATCAGAGTACCTATTAAAACAGTCTTTTCTAAGTTTGCACAAAAGAAATATGTACCAACTAGGACCTCACTTGGAGTTTCCAAGTAGAAGGTTAATTCCGTTCCAACTGTTCTCTTTTCTTCTCGTCCCATAACTGGAAAAGTTCATCCACGATCCAAAGTGATTAATATGTTATTCAATATAACTATTAATCTCTTTAGTAAGTCCAATTATCCTTCAACTCAGAAAAAATCACCATGACTGGTATGACAACAGAGGTTGTACATCTCATACTATATATGTAAAGTCAACATTATCAAACATCCATTACAATTCATTTTACTTCAGTTATTGTTTCGCTTAAAAAGGAAAAGTTAAAACCGAATATTAATCTTCGCAGCAAATGCAATCAACGTTATGGAGAAGCATGAAAGAGTAGGAGAAGAACAATGTTGCTTTAAGGAACTATTTAATGACCTATATCTTCCATCATTTATCCTATTAGTACAGGACAGTTAAAATCTCAGTACTATATCCAAAAGTATGTTTTTTTGCAGAGATTTCAATGGAATTACAAAGCCATTATAGAGACGAGCCATAAGAACACATCACAGTTTCATTTCTACAAAAAGATGACAAGAACAATAATCAATACACTGTTAGCTACATCAACTAGCACTAAATTTTTTAAAAGAAAAGGCAAAGTATTCACCCTGTCACGGGAGTAGTAAGACCTTAACCTCAATTATTCCATGTCAGGATCTTTCTCGATCTCTGTTTTCGTGCTGCCAACCCCACAGGCCAGCTCAGTTTCAAACGGCACAACAGATGGCAATTTCTCATATGTCGATCCCACAGGCAAAAACTTTCCTCGGACCAGAACAAGCATATGCCTGAGTCTCTCATAACCCCACCTCTGCTGAACATAAACGGCAATCGCCAGCAAAACAGCAGTCAACAGTATAGCAGCATCCCCAATTTTCGAGTAAAAATCCAATTGAGGGTTCACGAACTCATACTCTTCGGAAAAATAAGGATTCTGTACAGGCGAACTTATATAATCATACAAATGAGGAAAAAACTGAACTGAGGTTAGCCCAAAAAAATACACCATTCCAAGAGGCTTATCCTGTATTCTCCACATAAAATTCGCAATCACCTGAGGAAGTAGAAAGAAATCCTGGACGAGCCCCAAATACTCCCCCAACACGGTCTCCCATTCACGTATAGCACGAGAATAACCACTCCAGTCGACAAAATACACCGTTTGTAGAGGTTTATAGCTCGTATTTACATAATGCACGACAAGAACAAGTACGTATCCAAGAACATGTATAATCAAGGTACTTAAAAGTACTTTTTTTTCACTCGGGACTCGGTGAGGCTCGAGTGGAGACTGCATTAGCAGCTGGATACGAGCTTTCCACACTTTATGGCAAAGCGTCAGGGTTAAAGAAAACCCAATCAGAACCAAAACCTTCACTGCATAATCAATCACATGAATCCATTGACTGTTCTTTAACTCATGCGACTCGTTTTCGCTAAAATCAGCCAATCCCTTTCGCAGAAGAGCTCCCGCACTTGTGACAAGCGGGAGGCCGTACCCAACCGCTTGTACTCCAAGCATCACAAACGATACATAAGGGACAGACTCCGCATTTTCTCGCACATAAATCAGCTGGCTTAAGATGCAAGCAATTGCAACAGAGAGTGTCGAAATACGAAGAACGCCCTCGACACCTCTGCGTGTGAGAATGCCTTCCCTTTGCTTTCTGTACAAAATGGGGACAGTCTGGAGATTAATCTGATCAAAATAAAGTGGGTCATCCTCATTCCTCTGGCTACTAATTGAGATTCGAGCTGTGGGGTCCACTAACCACCGAGCTTTGACTGGCGGATATGAGATCACCACTTGGACTAAGCAGTCGAGTCCGGCTTCAAGATCCATGCTCTCGTATAGTGTTTTCCAGTCAGCCCGAATGTCACGGCAGCCTACAAGGTACATCTTTCCAACATGCGGGTCGTAAATTCCCTCCAAGAATAAGGACGAGAAATCGCTTTTATAATGCTGTCCGGCAAGGCTAAGCTGACCGGACACGTTGACCAGAAGCTGTTTCTCCGTGGCGTATGGGGTTTCTGCCCGAAAGTTTGAAACATTCTTTGTGGGCCAGTATGGCCCGAACAACGGCCCAATCGACAGGATCTCCAGTTCGAAGTCATTTTTGGATAGAAAAGTGCTCGGAATTGGATCAGGCAAGGCAGGAACGTGAAGGGTGAGATCCTCGGATAGAAGAGAGAGACTGTACGGAAAATCTTCCATTTCCTCTATTTTAGGGAATTTCAAGGCCGATTTCGGAACAACAGTCCCGAAGTTAAAAGGCTCGTCTTTCTCAAGAACAAATCCGGCATCACGGATTTTAGTGTATTTGTAATACGGACGGGAAGCAGTGTACTGGTCCCACAGCTCAGCTGGATGAACGGTTTTTTCAAATGTTAGAGGGAAAAAAGACAAATTTTTGGCAGAATTTATACTTGAAAAAGTTCCAAAAAGTATGCTACGCTGTTTTATCGAGAAAGAAAGAGGAATATACATGCAAATGCGTGTATCACAATCAGATCTAGAGCAACCAATCATGCAGATCTGCCCACTTGACGGCTTCCAAATCCCCTCAGCAGAAATAGTCATGTCTCTGAGCCCCGTCCTATGGGCTGCTGTGAATATGTTCTGTGAAGGAGGAACTGCACGAAATACCGAAAAGACCCTCATCGAGCCATCACTTCCGTTTTGAGTAATATTTTCACAACGAATGTCCTGAAGAATGAGCTTGACATTTTCGAAGCTCCCATCGGTGGCATTAATCTCCTTATTCGATACAAAAGGGCCCAACTTACGGCAAAACAAATCTGTGCCATTGCATTTCCAGTTTGGAAGAACTGTAAGAGCTTCCTGACGAGTGAACCTCTCGAGTATGACGCAAAAGTCAAGCCCTCTGTAAATATCAATTTCGCCATTGTTCAGATTATCTTTAAATGGATACGGATCGCAGGCTTTCGAAACCAGATTTCCAGACGTGAAGTGATAATTCACAGACGGGCTCAAAGAAGACGACAGATGGACTTCGTCGAAGTACTTTGAGTTCGATTTCGAGTTCAAACTTTTCATGCTCCCGATTATTTCTCTGCTCATCAAGGTCATTGTTTTCGGAAAATGGAGCACAAGCATAATCTGATCGTCTTCGGTTAGAAGGGGCTGATCAGTGTAACCGAATTCCTTAACCCAAGGCCACGGGTTATCCTTTTCGGGCCCACGGGTGGGCAAAACCGTACTCCCCAACAAACACATTACTCTCTCACCGTGGTTTTTCTCCGTATAGATTCCTTGAAAATTAATCGAAAGCTGAGAGTGACCGGGCCATATATCGAATCTTGGGCTTTTTTCGTGGGGTTCTTCTGAAAGCAAGCCCTCGAGGGATATCCCTAACTGCAAAAGCCCGCTAACAGAAATGGAATTCGTGGAATGATATTGGCGATTAACACCAGTAACCCAAAACGAAACAAGGTGCGAAGGGGATCGAAGGTCCTCCGTGCTTTCTCTATCATCAAACGGCATTAATGGAGCACTTTCCGCACTCGAGTCTTGCCACCAATCTCCATTCAAGAAAGAGAGTTCCTCTTTAATGGTGACAAGTCTACTGTCATCAGGTTTCAGTTGAGAAGCAGATTTCAACACAGAGGCGCATTCTTTATTTACTTCGCTAATCCTGTCAAACTTGTACCTATTTTCAGAAAGGTTACTCCTAGCGGCTTCGTCGTACGAGTTCGCGAAATCAATGCACAACACAAACAATAAGCCAAACAGAGCCCAGGATGCAGCAATTGAGGACATACTTGTTCGCGCCTCAGTTGATTAACATCAGAATTTGGGGGAAACTTGATTTTTTGTCGGATTTGTTGCTGCCAACAAGTAATACTGTAGGATTGAGGAAAGTTGGAGAGACTTACCTTGTGATTGTCAAATGCAGGGTTTGGTGAAGCTGATCGATTGCTGGATAGTTCAACTTGAAGCAGTCAGTGAAGGAGCATGAGGATTTTTCTTCATTATGAAGAAATGTTTTGGGGATCAAAGGTGCGAAAGTTTGGAGTTGAAGTCAGGAAAGACAGTGATGGCTGATGAGATACAAGTGACAAAAGATGGTGACCTTTTTTCATTTTGAATTTTCTTTTACTAATTTTCAAAGCAAGATTTTTTACTATTTATTACTTATTTTAACTTTTTTTCTTGTGTTTTCGTTTCAGGCAAAAGGCCAAAAACACAAGCAATAGGTAAAAACAGAAAAGATAAAATAATATAGTGGTATGAAATTTCCCAACAACCATTACCTACCGTATTTTCCAAATACGTGTAACTGTATTATTACAAATGTGATATCAAAAGTTTTCTATTTAAATTTCATGAAAATCACATTAAAGGTTGTATTACTTTGTGATTTCTAAAGATTTTTTAAGACTTAAAAATTATAGCGTATTTAATTTAAACTTTTTAAAACTTTTAAAGTCTCTAAGTATTCATTTAAGATTTTAAAAAGTTCTACAAATTCTGGAGGGACTTTTTAATCTCGAGATATTGAATTTATTTGAGAATAGAATTTGTTTTAATATCGAAGTATTTAACTTATTTGAGACTAGAATTTATTAGAACTTTTTGAAATTTGCTGGTATTTCAAAAGAAAAAACATATACGAAATCCCACTCTAAATCTTACCTCCATATTTAAAATTTCACAAGATTGCTCATCAATTTGAAAATCTTAAAAAGTCTCAAATCTGAAGTAAATTTTGTGATTTATTCTTGCAAATAAACATTTTTTTAAGCATAAACTCTTCGTTCTTTTAACAAATAAAATGTAAATTGATGTAAAAAAATAATCGAATTTGTATACCAATTTTTTTTTAGTAGTCATTTTCAGTGAAACTGAAACACATATATAAAAACTCAGTTTTGCTATGGAGTCATCAGAATCGGATGACTCGACTTATGAAGTCATCCACACTTATTCACCAATAGTGTATTGACACGTGTCCTGCAATAAATACAATTTGAACATGTGTCAATACATTAAGTGGTAGATGACTCCATAAGAAAACCATTCCATGGCTTCATAGAATTTTTATATAAAAACTTATCAGCTTTTTTATTTTACATCTGTTAAGAATCAAATATCCTTTTCTTCCCGAACATGGCTTTCCCATACCATCTTGGCATCTTCCATGCATAAATGCATTTACTCATTGTAATCCGAGTACATACATACATCCCAAAAGCATGAACAGTTATTTAATAAAGTTTCATAACCCTTTACAAAAACACACACAAAAAGTAGCTATAGAAAAAACACATCTATCGTTTTTGGAAATTGAATGATCTTACTGCAAATGCGAAGATCAAACCGAAAACGACTCCAAATCCGGTAATAACAACAGCCACCACACCGATAAAATCGTGTCTGAACCCAAAGTAACTCCTCACAAATTCCTCAACAGTTTGCTTCGACTCTAACTCATCTTTAACATCTCCAAACTGTGATGCGACCAATCCATAAAGTGTCCATGCCACCGGATTCACCCAATGGAACCATCTCCACCACACAGGTGTCCTCTGTAAATCCAAAGACAAAAAAACAGAACCACAAGACTTTTCGATTAGTTTCGTTGTCTTTTGCCACAGAAATAGGGATAATTACAAAAGACACCCTGGGATTTGATTTTTCTGAAAACAAAACAACTCATAAATATATTAAGGATTCCAAAAGGCCCCTCAAGGTTTGGTTTTCGTGTAATACACTAATACTTTTCAAGAAAAGTTGCATGCGTAAAATACTTTCCAAGAAAAGAACATTGCGAAAATCGCCCTTGGACGTGTAAAAATATCACAAATGGCCCCCCTTTAAATATCCACATATATCTTATGAATAATTACAGAGATACACTTCAGAATTTGTGAATTAATAACTATCACTCCCTTTTGTAATTTATACTCGTTTCCTTGGAGTGTAATTTGTGAAATGGAACTATATATGAAGGTGGGGTATTTTTTTTTTATCTTGAAATAGGTTTATTTCTTTTTACATTGACTAACCCTTAAGGTTATTTTCGTGATTAACCGTTATCTTATGCACATGCATAATAATGCAAAACTGAGATTCTAATACTTACCGGCCTTGGGATCACGAATCCAGAGAAAAGGTTCCATAAGGCATAAAACGAGTAGGATATGATGTTGGCAATGTGGTGATTTGGGGTGACAGCCACGGCCATCATGCCGTAGAAGATGAAGTAGAGCAGCGAAAAGAACATGAAAAATATGTACCAAAAGTATTTGGCAGCTGTCCACTCGAAACCAATCATTGCGTACACAATGGTACCATATATTATGGCCTGAGCAAAAGCATAAGGGACCTCGATCAAAGCCTGCAAAAAAAAATACGAGATTGAACAAGAATGTATCATCTTTTTTTCTGTATCAACAGGAATCAGACAGTAAGAATATTTTTAAGATTATCATCTTCTAAAATTTTGCGAATATACCCTAGATATTTCATTTTCCGCACATGTTTCACTCTCAGAAGGAATTCGGGAAGTAAAATCATGTAATTTTGTTAATTATACCTTCATTTNCCCAGAAAGAAAACAGAGGCATACATGGAGCCCATTGCATTAAAGATGTCCTGCTGATTACCCCTGAAAATTACAGCATTAAAATATACAAAATTAAAGAAACAAAAAATAAAAAAAAAAATAAAAAAAAAAAAATCAACCAGTACATCAGAAAATCTCTAAAAAAATGGTTCCTTAAATACATTTTTGTTCTTTACTTACAATTTCTTGCCAAGATCCCAGAACATGGACCCAAACAGGAGAGCCAAAAACGCTGTATACAAAATTCGTACAGCAGAATAAAGAGGATTTCGCCAATATGACCAGTGTTGTTTCCATAAGCATGCAATGCACTGAGTGAAAAAAGACTGAGAATACTGAGTTTCAAAGTGGAGGTCCTTTGAGCCAGGAGGAGGTGTGCTTAGCTCACTTATGAGAGCTTTATTTCTCCTGTAATTTCAAGACCATTAACATAGTTACCAGTAAAACACCGGTGTAGACTGCAAGAATAACTTAGTATAAGAATATTACCTGTAAAGTTCTGAATTTTTGTAAAACTCAGCAAAATCAACACCTAAGATCATTTCTTGAGCTGAGGATGTAACCTCGAGCATCCAGGTTGCTGGATTATAGCCATCCCTGATCTTTTTAACTCCTTGTATACTCTAGATGGAAGATTAAATGGAAATTTTAACTTATATTTCATGGTACAAGTAATAAGAAACGCCAAGACAAAATTCGAAATTACATTCATACAAACTACTCACTAAATGCATTGGTGCAATTTTGTCGAGGCTTGTTACAGAAAATACCCTTTGGTTTGG